ATCCCTCCATATGGTCGGATGGCGTCCTTCGTACCGATCAACGTACCCATTGTATTGGGCATGCTCACAATGCATTCAACACCGGCTATAGTATTCTGGCAATGGGTAAACAGCAGCAGCAGTCGAGATTCATATTGCTCTTGTTCACTCTTGGTCGCTGGTTGGATGTAGTATGTTCCCCTCGAGAATGTAGACCCTGAATATTTTTGGTTTCCGAAGCTGAGCTCAGAAGTTTACATACGAATTTGGGTAGAAGTGTACAGAGACCAACAAGAATCACCCGAAATTTCCTCCCAGAATTTCCATGTTGTCGTCAACATATATTTCCCCTACTTATGTTCAGGTGAACCAAAGCTATAACGCTGTGTTTAATTATTGTAATCGTAGTGGTATGGAGATGACGACTGAGCAGCAAGCTGTGTCCTATGTTCTGGCTACTGGTAATGACTTCTTCTTGTTGTTGTTGATTGTATCTGGCTTCACTGAGGGAGAGGGAAGTATGGAGTAGATAGTGTTAAGTATGATTTTATGATAACGATTATTACATAGTCTCATCATAGTGATATGAGGACAATACGTATTGTGGTCCGTACTGGTAGTGTACATACACATTAACAAGTGTGATGAAATGACGACAAGAAGAACTCTTCACATGAGGTTGGTGGTGAGGAGACTTGATATTATGATTATAAGTAATTACATGAATACACAAGGCATGAAATTTACAAAATTCAGTCTCGGTAGTCTTTTTTGACAATACAGATATATGGTCCTGATGATGGGCATGTGAGCATGGAGTTGTGGTATTTCTGAATGTGTTTAGGATCGTCCTGTGCTATGGCGCTGTTGATGAAACGATTCCAACCAGAATCGATGAGGAAAGTGCCGTGGGTGGTGAGTATGAAGAGAGCCGACTTATTCTTGTTGTGGATGTGGTCATTGTAGTTGCCGTATATCTCTGTCGCTACTGGGGGAACTGCCAACCTCTATTTTACGCGACGATCTGAGCTCCAAAATGGTAATAGTTTATCGATAGTAATGATCATAAGAGTTTCACCACCCTAGTGATATGAAAAACAGTAGTGAAGAATATATTTCTGCGTATCGCCGCGAATATC